AAGAAGGGGAGATAAGGACGATAGATGTTTGATAGGAAAGAAGAAGCAAACCACACCAGAGCACCCGCCAACCACCCACCAGATAATCCTCGTGGAACGATAGAAGAGTGTTTTATGAAAATAAACAATCAGACATTTACTACGTCAAAAAGCTCTTAAAACACGAGGTCCATTCCCCTTTGCTCTAAATGTGTATTTTTTTTTCTACACTAAGGCAGTGTGTGGTTTGCTCCTTCTTTCCTATCAAACATCTATCGTCCTTATCTCCCCATCTTCTTTTTTATGTTTGTTACTCTCTTGTAACACATCAAATCTTCTGGCAATCATATGACCTTATGCAGTTGCGAGCGTCGTAAAACCCTCTACTATAATAAATAATAATAAGGCAGTGTGGGTGATTGGAAGGTGCTCTGTTGTGGTTTGGTCCTTCTTTCCTATCAAACATCGATCATCCTCAATTCTCCATATTTTTGTGCTTGTGGCTCTCTTGTAACACCTCTAATCTTCGGCACTGATATGGCCATATAGTGCGGCAAGTGCTGTAAAACTCTTATTAAAAGGTTAAAAAATGGCAATCCTTCAGAGTGGCAGTCCCATGGCTGCCTCCATTTTTCCCCATTTTACTGACAATCTTCAAACTGTCCCTCTTCCTCCATCATTAAAAAAAAAAAAGAGAAAATTTTTTTAGTAAAAAAAAAAGAAAAAAAAAATGTGAGGCAGCGTGGAGAAATCAGGCGCTTGTCAAAATAACTACATAGGAGAAACAGGCATTTTTCCGCCAGTTTAGATTTCTTAAATCGATTTTTTATTTTTTGGCTTAACCTCTTGTATGTCCATATAAAAACACATTTCCATGGGAATTTTACTGAAAAATATTGATTAACGACACAAAGTATGTCATTTTCCACTTTTTAAGACTCTTTAGCAATTGAAGTTACTAAACTTTGGTGGTCATTTTCTTGCTAATTTCAACACAGAAACCACGCGCCCTCACTTCCTTCAATCGCAAATATCTTGAGTTCTATTCAAGATAAATGGATACTTATTTCATAAGAAGAAAGGCAAATAAACCAGCTTTCAGACGATACCAATAACTCCACATGTCCAAAAACTGACTACAAGAGCCTGATTTCACCACGATGCCTCACAAACTGATATGTGTCACGGCGCGGTGGAATCAGGCGCTCGTCAATTTTGGGGCATGTGGAGTTATTGGTATCATCAGAAAGCTTATTCTTTTGTCTTACTTTCTATGAACAAATGCCCATCTATCTTGAATAGAGGTAGAGACGAATATTTGCAATTGAAAGAGGTGGGGTGGCCTGCTTTCAGAGGTAAAATTTGCAAGAAAAGGGCCGCCGAAGTTTGGTAGTTTCAATAGCTTGAGAGTCCTTGAAAACTGAAATATCACATATTTTGTGCCTTTAGTAAACGTTTTCAAGTAAAATTCGGATGAAAATGTGTAATTATTTGGACATAAAAGGTGTTGAGCGTAAAAACAAAAATTTGATAAAAATGGCTAAACTGGCGGAAAAAAGCCTTTTTCTTCAAGTTCACTATTTTGACAAGCGCCTGATTTCACCACGATGCCTCACAAAATGATACCACTGTTCCTCACCCTTAGGTCTCAAACTGACGGTGCCAAAGTTCTGGATCTCGTCGGAGCTGACGAGGCCTTCAAACCGGTAGTACAGACCGTAGGGCTCGATCTGCCCCTGGAACTGTAGGTTGGAGTGACCCTCAAAGTGCTCCTTTTTGGTCCAGACGCTGCTCTCCGTGAACGTCAGGTTCTCTCCATCGTCCGAGACCACTGGAACAACATCACGTCAATTAGCACGATGGTGGGTTTGGGATTTGTTTTTTTAGAGGGTGGGG